TAGAGTGCACTATCACATGCATGCCCACACATTATGAGAGAGCGTAAAATTGTGTATCAAAACAATGCCCTTCAACATCATCATTGTTTCTGATTGCTAAAGTAGGATACAAAATCTATCAGAGAGCTCTTAGTTTTCCCAGCTTTCTTTAAACGGATTCCAAGCTTGTCTTTCCTTCCAAACATTCCAGTGGAGAGAATCCAGCAGCTCCTCTCTGGGTGCCTGTAAGGAGCGTGCCAGCTTTTCGTCCCACGTACTTAGTCGAATGGTTTTGGCCTTGGAAAGATTAACTGGGGTCAGTCGGGAGAGAGGGAGAGAGAAGTGGAGCAGTGGAAGACTAGGGGAATCTTTTCCAAGCACATTAGAGAAAAATATAAACTGGCAGGAAAGGACTAGGGGAAGAACCGAGTGAACTGAGACATAATAAGTATATTAGGTGAACAAACTAACTGAAAGGGTTTAAATGTTCCGTAGTTTTGTAACTATAAGGAAATTATAGCTGTTGTATACATTTATTTGCAACCATGGGTTTTAGAAAAAACCATATAAGATTGCAATAATCCATATCAGTTCAATACATCCCCTGTAATATTAACAGCGCTATTTGTCAACATCTGCTCGCGTATCTTCCTTGTGGCCATTGCAGACAATGCAACTTGTTTTGTTACATCTTCATCTTCACCAGTCAGCAGGAAATAGATTTTTTTCTTCTAAGCTAGACTGATTCAGTTGGATTAACAAACGTATGATGAATCTAGCTCTAGGCTCCTGATATAATCTGCAGTGTAATAAGGAGTGGATCAGATCTTCCACCTGTGAATTATTACAAATGCATGAAAGGTTTAAATGTTCCGTAGCTTTGTAACTATAAGGAAATTATATACTTTCCTTATAGCTCTGTGCACATCTGTTTGGACATCAAACTACCTAACCCTTTCATTGTTTGAAGCAAAACCACTTGTTTATTAAACAGTTTTTGAGATTTCCTATTCGTTTGTCTATACAGCTATTTATCCTCAAAGAAAGAAGCACTAGCAAATTAAGTTAAAGAATGGTTTAACAACTTCCAAGCACCAAGAGGAAATGGGAAAACCCAGCGGAAGGCCTGAGTGGGACTGTCGGTAAGGGAATATTCTATTCTTTGCATGGTCAGCACTGACAAAACTTTGGACTGAATAGCATGGGGAACAAAAGGGCTTGGGCAGCGCAGGAGGAGAATGGGCAGATCCGGTTCTACAAGTTCACAAGACCGCAGGAGGAGCCATTCGTATGGGTTTGTTTCTCATGGGTGTCTCAAGTCCTGCTTGTTCTCTCACAAGACAATTCCAGTTCTAGAAAACACAACCAGTCATTTCACACAATGGGCAAATTTTGCTGTGAGGGAGGTGTCCAACTGATCAGCCAGCCTTGCAAAGTTTCTGTGACAGCAAAAATTGAAGGAAAGTTGAATTAGCCACACCGAAGCAGCAACAAAGGGGCTCTGAAAAATGCTTCAGCAGTTACAAATGGAACTTCTTCCAATTAAACCAGTTTACCCAATTTCCATTCTTTTTTATACTTGATCTGGCAATGGCAGCAGAGGTCATTCACAGGCACAGACACAACTCTATTTCTCCCTGCCTGTATTACTTTGTGTTCCTGTCAAGACTGCATTTCCTTGTTTCCCTGGAAAGCTTCTCCTGTGGTCCTGTGAACTGGTGGGAGTCTGGATTCAGGAGCTCCACTCACCAGCTATGGAAGAAGGCAGGGTGAACACGGAGAGGAGAAGCAGGATTCCAGCATGCTGGTCCTATCAAAGAGAGAGAAGGTGAATAAGGAGCAGTTCTCATTCTCATCAGCAGTCCAAACAGCTTGGTCAGACTGTGCTGTCCCACTGCTGGTGGAGAAGGAATACCCCAAGAGGAGCTGCTGATGGCGGCCAGTTTCCTTTGAAGCATTTCTAGGCAGTATGGGTCTGGAAACTGCTGGTTACTTGGGGTGTATGTGTGTGCTTGAATGGTTCTGTGGGATTCCTCAAGAAAAAGAGCAACAGAAGACAAATTTGTCCAGAACAGGCTGCCTCTTATATGCAATGCCCAAATGCATTAGGAGGAAGGGGCTTGGATGACCTCTACATCATGCATTCAAAGCAACTGGGTCACAGCAAGATTCCAGCAGTTCTGACTAGGACCAAGCTATGACCCTCTGCTCAGTTTTCAGGCCAAGAAAGTTTTCAGGTTAGGGTTCTTTTGTGGCCAGATTAGTCAGTGTAGGAAAAAAGTCCTCTGGTAATCCAGAGTTTGGAAGGAGAGACCAGAGGGAACTTTGCCACCTAGGCAGAGGTCAAGAGAACGTCCCCAGCCCTGTCTGCATATAGAAGCTGGCCCAGATGGGCAGTTGAATCCTACTTTCACACCTGTGACAGGACCAACAGAACCCGATAGCAGCAGGCTAGCTTGGGAGGTGCAGGACAGATTGGGGGGTGCAGAGAGTTCTGCTGTTTGCCATTAATCCCTGCTTCCCAGTCTCCATTGCTCTAAGACACTGACAGGCCCTATTAGAAAGTGGCAGTGAGGGTGTCACTTCGGGTCAAAGGTGATCTTTCTCCCCAGGTGAGCTGAGAAGTAAACTCTTAATCAAACAATGGGAGAAGTGGATGGACAACCTCTTGCCAAACCTCCTGAGGCATGGGGTTCACTCAGTTTCTCCTTTCCAAAAACTCTATTATATTATCTTGATTTTAATCTTTCCTCTATGCCCATTCCCCCATTTATTTCACCAAAAGCAATCATAGTCTTCTTCTTTTACCAAAGAACTTCTAGCTGGGTTTCGTGATCTCTGAGTTTCTTCCATTCTTTGTTTAAGACAGAATTGTGATGTCTCTTTCATTCTACAATGCCCAGGGTTGCAGAACTGAACCTCTGTTAAGAATCTGTGTTGATTTAGTGCTACGTTGATAGCCTCTGTTAAGACATGGTTGCCATGGCATTAGAATTCTGCCAGTTCTTCATCACCTGCAGACACAATTTTCCCCATTTGCCATTATCAGCCAACTTGAGTTTCTTTCTGCATAAGAGGTAGGGAACAGATGTTGCTGGGCAAGGCCTCCCAATAGCCCAACCCATTTTGTTGCCTTCCATATGTTGACTCAGCAGCATCTGGAAGGCTTCTGGCTCCTTTCGTCACCCGGCTTGAATATTGATTGTTAGTCATTGCCAACCAGACTGGGCCAGATTGCCCAATGATCTTACTTCATCCAAGGCATTTTCTATCGTCCCCCAAAGAAACAGAATTATTCTAGCTGCAGACTGGCAATTGTTATGACAACACAAGAATTTAGCTAAGAAGAGGGTTTGGTAGTGGGTTGTAAATGGGAAGGAGCAAAAGCAATTACACCAACACCCCTGGGTGTCTCCTGCACCAACATTTTGATCTCAAGGAACAATTATGTGAGACAACCCTTACTGGAACCTTGTAGCATTTATTTGATATTTAAATTTAAAATAAAATTTAACAGTCTACTGAAATGGGATTCAATCATGTTTGGGTATTTAACACTGAATATCTTTTCAAAATTAAGCAATGCTACTGGGACTGGGGGCGGGTGGGAAATTTTTGTAAATTCTTGGCTTCTGGACTAAAATAATACCAGCAAAATAATTAAGGACTTCCAGGTGTAAATGAGCACTTCTTTTTTCAATTTTATACTTGTTTTATAGCCCTGATTCAACTACTGTATTTCAGATTTACAAAGCTGGTAGCTCCCTCGTGTCCTTTACCTCAGGTGACAAAGGACTAGGAGGAGAGATCTGAGCATTAGTTAATGGTGGGGTTATTTGGAAAAAACTGGGCGGCTCATCCCTGCTCTCCCTTTGGATAAGACGGTGGCACTGAAGTTCCTGAGGTGGAATGCCAAGGTTTTTATGCACTCCTTTCAGCCGAGTGGTTTCAGATGGCCAAGCAGCAGGGGTGTGGAGGAATGTGTGTATCGAAGGGCCATTCAAAGGAGGGACCAAGTGTGATTTCAAAAAGCATGAGAAAGGCTGGCAGCACATTGTCAGAAGCCTCGCACATTATTGATTAAAGTTTATTAGCCTGCTTGCTTCGTTTCTGCCATTTCAAAGAAGGGGGGGATGGAAGAGTAACTGTTATACACAGGTGGACTGTTACCTGGTTCTCAGGAATGGCCAAGGTCGTACCAACATGAGACCAGGAGAGAACCAGTGAAAGGCACAAAAAGGACTATGGGATGGGAAGGGGGCTGGTGAAGGGAAAAAGGGGTTAAGTAGAGTTAGCGCACGTGGGCTTTTGAGTTCTAGCAATGCTTTTGAGACTGTATACTTCTTTTCAATAAATGAATCTTTTCTTTGAATTTATTTAAGTTTCAAGTGAATCATTGGGTTGAGAACTGAGCACTGCAGGTTCTCACGAACATCTTCTTGGTGTATTTCTGGAAGGAACTGTTGCTGGGAACATGGGGTCCCAGATGGTGAGGAGAGACGCAATGGCTGGTGGCTCTGCGCAAAAGCGTATCTGGCCGCAGCACTTCTCTTTCAGCTGGGTTTCAGGCCTAGGTATGGTACCATGACCATACCGATCACTCTTGATGACTTGTGCGAGACAGAGAAATGGAAGGCTGGCGCTCTTGGTCCTGTTGGACCTTTCAGTGTCTTTGATACCATCAGTCATGACAACCTTTTGAACGAACTCCAAGGCTGAGGGGTGAAGGGCACTGTTCACTCAGTGAAGGAAAGGGCGCATCCCAGGGCTCTCCGTTGTGGGGTGCCCCAGGGCTCATTTGTTGGCACGGGGTCAGTCGGTAGATAATGCTGCAATTTACTCCATCTTCATTTTGTACAATTCAAGGCGGTGTGCATAATGCTCCTTCTTCCCCCGAACAGCAACCTCGTGAGGTGGCTTGGGCTGAGGGAGCATGAGGGACTGGCCCAAGGCCACCCAGCCAGCCTTCATGTGTAACGGAGGCCTAGAACTCAGGGCTTCCTGGCCATTGTGCCAAACTGGCTCTCAGGTTCTCAACCCTGGGCTGAAGAGGAGATGTGGCAGAAATCCTGTCCCAGCGCTCGGGGACTGTTGGAATCTGTGGGCACAGGCTCACTCCTGCAAGATGGCATGGCTGTGGGTAGGGAAGCTTCGGACGCCATAGATATCTGACCCACGATTCCAGCTTCCTCATGCTTAACTGGTTTGTCATTTGGAGACTGAAGAAGTGCTTTGCTTTTTTGTTTTTGTTTTTTTGCTTTCATAATTTTTATTGAAGAGTATATAAAACAGATAAAACTAATACAAAAACCAAGTACAAAAATAGATTTAAAAAAGGACAGTGCAGAGAAAAAGAAAAGCATCCCCCCACCAAAAAAAGTAATAAGAAGAAACTTCCCCCTTAGCCCCAGCACGTGCATACAACGTTAACAACTGATCACTGTCTCTTCAAATACTACCAAACACATCTTCATTCCACACTTCACCCCATTTTCTATAAACCATCTTCAGCTCTCCTTATTAATCAACAAAAGGTGTAAAGGTTAACAGACGTAACTAGCAACACACAGTAAGCATTTAGTCCCCTTTCCATTTAAACTTAATCCCCCAATCCCTCTCTTAATAATCAAAATCTCATCCCAATTGACAATTAAACATTACAAATGAATAAAAAAATTAACCCTGAATCATCACCCAAGATAGCAACCTATTATTAAACCCAATTAACAATTAAACAGTTCAAAAAAAATTAAACCCAAAAAACTATTAAACATTGCAAAAAATAATAATCCCTTATTTGTATACCAAACATCATAACACAGAGATTACAAACAAATCCAATACACCCAACTGGACATCCCTAAAAAGAGTTATCCAGTCAAAGTAACCATTAAGCATCACCAAAAAATAACAACCCATTACTTAACCATAATCAAATAAACCAGCTTTATATTTTTTCTTCTTCCTCCCATCAATCCCTGAATCCCATAGGTAATAATTGCCAGATTATTCTACCTGTCCTACTGAAAAATACAATTCCTCTTCAGAGCTGATAATTCTAAATGGTTTCCTGATGGTCTGGATTCCCTTCTAGCAACTATCAAGCTTGTGTTACTGAAGGCCACTGGTTGGAGCCTTCCTCCGGTACCATAAGCCAGCATCAGTTGGGAAGGTGAGGCTTGCTTGCCCTTGGAGGCCAGTGTACACTTGGCCAGGTGAAGAGAGGAGGCCAGACAAACAATCCAGTTGTGAGTGTCCATTATCTGCGAAGCCATTTCTGTTGAACCAAATTCTGGAGTCCGTGTGCAGCTGAAGAGTTTATAACTCAGTGTGTCCTTTCTGTTTGGCCAACTTTTCCGGCAGGGTCTTGGTCCAGAAGACGACGGCTTTCTCTTTCAGTTTTCTTGTCACCTTTTGCTTTAAGTCTATTGCCAAATACTGCTCACTCCTGTCATACGTGGGCCAGGTCACCAAGCCACCACCATTAGGGTTCCTAGAAACCATTGAAAATGTCCAATTAGTTTATGGAATCCTCTTGGCCCTTTACTTCGGCATGTGGGTAAATAGCAAAGGCGGGAAGCTGCTTTCTCTCAGGGTCACCAAGATAATCCTCATCTTTCATCACTTTCACAAATAGAGCTTTACCCATTTTTCAAATAATACCTAAATACTCTAGAAACATTTGAAAAAGCCTATTGAACAGCCCCCCACAGGGCCCCCCAGCCAACCTCTAGCATGATTAGTTTTCCTGTGAAAGTCTAGGAGCATATTCTCAGAAGCGTTGCAGCCTTGGTGACCTGGGAGGTCTCCTGTGGGAGACAGTCCAGCATTTGGAGGAGGGCATTCTTCATATCCATGTCCATGAGATCCCAATTTACATCATTTATATAGTTTACCTGAGTAGTAAATGCATGGACGTGTGCAAACCCACTAACTTACCCGCTGCGAGCAAAATTAGCCCAATATTTCATAAATATTTTGCTAAGCATTTTATCTTCTTCTGTTGCATCATCTGCAAGCAAGAATGTAAGGATAGCATCAGCAAAAGAATTACAGCTTTGGAATGTTTAAAAGCACAAAAATAAAGTCCTGCAATAATATCATCACCACAGGAACAACAATAAAATGCAATTGTCACTGGGAGTCAGGCAGCACATACATTTATTAAATAATAATAATAATAATAATAATAATAATAATAATAATAATTATTATTATTATTATTATTATTTCATCAGAAACCTATCTACAGGAGAGATATTT